GCTCGGCTCTCGCTGAGAGATAACAGTAATTAGTCACGGTGCTGTCGCAAATGCTGCCATAGTACGGAGCACCGTGTAGAGACTATGAACAACAGATCGATACAGCTGTTAGCCATGAAGCTGAGGTAGCCACTGGAAGGTTTACTTCCGTCATCCAACCACTCATCCAGGCGAGAAGACTCATGGACTCGAAAACCTTAGGCAGCTTCTCGGACCCGGTCATCATCATCAGCTTCGGAGTCTAGGCCATTCGCATTCCGCAGATGCTTATGAATGGGCAACGGACTATTGTTTTCTCCAAGACGACAGGTTCGGATATCGGAACTTCGGGGTAGACGCTTTCCGTGATCACCGACCCGTGCTGATACTTGAATGCTTGACACTTGAACTCACAGCATGACTAGGAAGAAGAGACTAGATGATAGATACGAAGTCTGTTGACTGTGTCAGCTGCTCGACGAGTACTTAGACATCAAATACCTCGATTTTTTCAAGCGTAACGGTTGGCATTCTCGAGAGAATAATTCTCGGATATATCCAGATAGGGGTATCATAGGGGTACATTATATAAGCGCACTGCGGATATACCAACAAATGCTCCTATCAATGAGGATGAGCCGTCGACACACTGTTTGAGGCTCATACCGCGTATCCAAGCGCGGGGGCGGCTCTTTATGTAAATCTAGTGTGACACTGACGACGTCTATGCTCAGTGCTACCACAGTGTCATGCCAGAGAGCCCAAACTCAAAGGTAGGTGTACTGCCTCAGGCATCAACCCCCGGAAATCTACCGGATTAGGCAGAGTAGGCAAGAGTATCAACTACTATCAACATCTTTAGCCTAAAGTGCGGCCCCTCCCTCATCAACAAACCATTCCCGAATATCAACCTTTTATTCGTCAATTCGCAGCTTGCAATGGGTACTATGAGTATTTAGCCGTCGAAAAGAAGGACAACTAGACAACTAGACAACTAGACGTCCAAAATGTTGAAATGTGCCTCATCTCATTCAGGCTCCGGTGCTTTTTCCCGTACTGCCACACTCTGATCGACGTATTGCGGGGTTACGTAGACATCTGCCCCTCCTCCATATCAACTTGCTTTTCTGCAATTACTCGCATGTTCAGATTGACAACTTAACCTCATTATTGTCCATTTCCAACCAGTGACAAGATCCCAAGCAAGATAGGAAGACGAGCATCATGTCTGGAGATTCTGGATTCGCCTTTCTGCCTCTCGGAGCCATCATCCAGGAGTTCCGCGTCGGAGGGAAGAACATCGTTCTTGGTTTCAACACCCAGGACCAATATGATAAATCCAACTCGCCTCACTTTGGCGCAACAATAGGCCGCGTGGCCAACAGAATCAAGGATGCCGTCATCCACAACCTGAATAATCGGGACTACCCCTTGGCCAAAAACAACGGGCCCAACTCACTACATGGCGGGGAGAAAGGCTGGGGCAAGCGTGTCTTCGATGGCCCTCAGACCGTGAAGCGCGATGGCAAGGATGCCCTACTGTTCAAGTACCTCAGCAAGGACGGCGAGGAAGGCTTCCCCGGCACAGTGGAAGTGCGAGTCTGGTACACGGCCAGCAAGGAAGACTCCAAGACGGTCCTAACTACCGAGTATGAAGTTGAGTTTGTGGGTAACGAGTGTGAGGAGACGGTTGTCAATATGACGAACCATAGGTAAGTTGCAGTTGACCAGGGTATTCTATCATAGTGCAATAGTTGATGGTATTTGTGTCTGCGTAGTTATTTCAACCTCGGCAACGGCTCTACCATCGAAGGCACCAAGGCCCAATTGTCCACCGCCGACTACCTGCCCGTCGACTCCACCGGTATCCCGCTTGGCAACATCGACAAATTCCCTCTGGACGTGTCCAAGCCATTCGTCCTCGGCGCGACCGAGCCCGACATTGATGATGTGTTCCTTATGGAGACCGATCCCTCCAAGGTCGTTTTGGATACTCGCAGTCAGCCCTTGAAACTGCTGGCGCAGTTCAGCCATCCGGACACGGGCCTGCACCTCGAGGTACACAGCACCGAGCCCGCGTTCCAGTTCTACACGGGTAAATACATCGACGTGCCCGCGATGGACGGACTGCCACCGCGCGTGGCTAGAGCCGGCTTCTGCGTGGAACCCAGCCGATATGTCAATGCGCCCAACGAGCCGGCATGGCGGCCGATGGTGCTTTTGAAAAAGGGACAGATCTTCGGATGCAAGACCGTGTACAAGGCCTGGAAGGCATGAGCGTTTTTGTCAGCTTCTCTCCATAGGTATATGATATGCCTTGTATCTCGGCTACGGCTCAAAATTAACTGGATGAGATTTCCCTCTTGTGTTTTTTTTTTGATTCGGTGGTCCGGCACTCCGTAGTTTTAGTTCATGTGCGATTTTCGCCAGTTTTGGCCGCGGGACCCGCAGCATCATCCGATGCAGCGGCACTAAGACTAAGTGCCTGTGCAGGTAGCGCGCTATGTGCCGATTATCCTTATCTCCGTGATATGTATCCGAGAGACCATCAGCGTCACTCACCTAGAGAATAGTCTAGAGAGGTAGAGAGCGAATGAATCTGGTTCACTGGTTCCCACTTGTGCCAACCCAGAGAGACCAAGTCCATTCTAGAATGAGAAAAGTTCGATGCCCGGGGTCCACCCACATGAAATCGAAAACAAAACGGCGTCTGTCAGGCCATTGGACGAGCGGAGCCTGCTGAGGTTGAGAATTATACCGCGGAAGACGGTCACGGGCATAGTTCTATAGGCCTGTCCCATCCCATACTCCGTGCTGAGTTACCAACCGGACAAGTAGGATTAGTCTGACGTAGTCCGTAAAATGGCTCATTTGTTCCGTCCCTGAGATGCCAAGAGTTTCTCGAAGCCTACTATGGGTCTTCTAGCGCGCAATGATCGTCCATATGATCGTGCAGCATTTCGACTGGCTGTGCTCCTCTTGTCTTCTGTGCTATTCTATTCAATAGTGTACAAGGCCATATGACCACACAGTCTCGGCGAACTAACGCAATGGTATTGGCATTGTGCCAATGTATAGGGATAGATTATGTACATGACAATGAAAATAGATGGGAAGATGAACTCTACTGTTGATATTAGTATTAGGAGGACCTGGTCTGCAAGTTAGACGGGCTGTAGTATATGTCGGCAGTTACTCGAGTATTCAACGTGGCTATAAAAGCCAGTAACATATGGCATCCCACTTTCTCTGTAGGTACATGAGACGCCAGGGCTGAAATACTAGTGAAGTTCAGAATTTCAATAAAATGTATTGCGCATACCGAGCAGTAATTAATGGTAATGTCCCCTGTATTTCAGTATTATAGCGTAATGATACCATCGTACAGACCGCGGACGGAAAGAGGATTGCCGTGTAATTCCCTGGGTAAGATTGGCGGACGGAACGGAGATGTTCAACTTCCTCTACCTACGTACTACTCAAGTTGGAAAGATTATTAATGAAGTTCAGGAAGCGCATGCTAGGTTGATTCTGGAATCAACGTCTTTTTCTTGGCTATGATTCATCCAGTCATTGTCAACCTAGAGTCAAAGCTGGATGAGCATAACAGATACCATTTTGACCTATTTTTGTACTTACTTTCCTCCGCCGCCGGACCTGTTTACAGGTGTACACATGCAAGCCTTTTGGATGTGTTCGGCATGATCACATCAGCATAACCAGCTGTCCATGACATAATACGGAGTTATCAATCTGGAATCTGGTCAGCAACCGATCATATGTCCTAAGTCCGACAGGTCACAGAGTTGACAGCCAGATGCGGCGTGGCACAGCATATCCGGGTCCTGCATCGATAAGGTTGGTTTTCAGGGCGCAAGGAGGCTGTGTAGGTGTGTGTATCTCCTGAAGACTTGAGGTTGTTCGATCCTCTGTGAGCTAGCCCATTGCAGAATTGCTTTGAGTCTGGTTGCTCTTGGCAGCTTGCACTCTTACCCCACATACTGTTTCGCAGCAGGTAGATAGTCTATGTTGACACTTACAGTTCTATATCAGATCTACCGAGCGGATGAGGCCGTGGTTATAGGATACTCTGTAGTGTTCGCGAATACGAGATAGCAGCACCAGAGGGCCAGAAGATGGTACGTGCGGACAACATGCATAAGCCTGACAGCTTGTCAGTTGCCCCAGCCTCACAGGCCAGACTCGCTCTCTCGTAGTCGTAGCGAATACGAATTTATAAGCGGAGGATTCAAGGTCAAGATTCTGGACAACAACAACTGAATCCTGTTGCCTAAAGCAGCGATCGACCCCTGAGTCTTTGTAAGCGTGGTCAAGTAGTTACATCAATCAGGAGCCGAGTCGTGGCTGTGTTCTTGTGCGGCCTGACTCCTTGACTTTGAGCTGCCTTTGAGTTTCTCGTCGTATTCGTCTGTGGCTTTGGTCTTCCTGGTGGACTTGTTAGGTTTCGCGATGTTTACACTTTACAGACTCGTTGATCTGACGATACATACCTTGTTCTGTTTCTTGCTAAAGTGATTACATTCAAACTTGTATCGAGTCTGATGTGTCAATATTACCTAATTAGTCCAAATGAACTGTCTTTCACCCGAATCCCGTCCTATCTCGTCCTAAGGTGCTATTGCACTCCATCGACTTTGGATTGGTATAAGGTCATGTGATGTTATGCTCCATAGCACAGATTCTTCCGATCCCAGCCGAGCCACGTGATGCCCCCCGGATGTTGCCGATGCCCCGCGTGGGGTTGATCGATAGTAAGACATCTACCTCTCTATGCTCGATAAACAACTTCTGGGGACGCATTTCTCTCTTGCATACTCGTGCAGAATTCAATCAAGTAGCAGCTCTCATTCTCCGGCCGCCCCATCTGTCTGTATCCGTGCCAATTGCGCTGGCAGGGTTCTTGTACCACCGGACAGCCATCTTGACCCGCTTATCGGACCGAGTTCAGTGACCAAAAAAGGAAGACCTGCGAGTCAAACGCGCTTGTACAGCATATCAAAATGGCATCGGTCTACGGAGATCTTCGACATTTGCTACCGAACAACTACAAACGGCTCATCACCGCTTGGTTGGAGGAGGATTGCCCCAGCTTCGACTATGGAGGGTTTGTCGTCGGTGAATCCGAGGGCGAGGCAAGATTACTGGGAAAGAGCAAAGTAACGCTGCTTAGATGCAATCTGATAGTAGGAAGTTTCTATATACTGACTTATACCAGGGTATCGTTGCAGGTGTACCCTTTTTCGATGAGGTCTTTTCCCAATTGGGCTGCACGTACGCCTACCGATAAAGCCCCCGCATACAGAACAGAATAGAACAGGCTGATGTTTGATACTCCCAGAGTCGAATGGCACGTCAAGGAAGGCGAATCCATCGACCCGATAAAACACTGCGCCACCGTCCGCGGCCCGATCCGTCAGATCCTCCTCGGCGAGCGCGTCGCTCTCAACATCCTCGCCCGCTGCTCCGGCATCGCAACCAAGAGCTCCGCCCTCGTGGCCGCCCTGCGCGCCCACGGCTGGCAGGGTACCCTCGCGGGCACCCGCAAGACCACGCCCGGCTTCCGCGTCGTCGAGAAATACGGCCTCCTCGTAGGCGGCGCCGACCCCCACCGCCACGACCTGAGCTCCATGACCATGCTCAAGGATAACCACGTCTGGGCCTGCGCCAACAACCGCTCCGCCGCGGACGGAGGATCTGGCTCCGCCAACACCCAGTCCATCGCGGCCGCTATCCCCCGCGCCGTGCAGGCGGCCAAGGCGGCAGGGGGGTTCTCGACCAAAGTCGAGGTCGAATGCCGCAGTCTCGAGGAGGCGAACGCGGCTATTGGCGCCGGCGCCGACGTCATCATGCTCGACAACTTCACCCCGGAGGGTGTCCGCGATGCGGCCCGCCAACTCAAGCAGGAGTGGGCCGGCAAGCAAAAGTCGTTCCTCGTCGAGGTCAGCGGCGGCCTGACCGAGTCTAACGCTGCGTCCTATGCCTGTCCCGATGTGGACATCCTCTCCACCAGCTCCATCCACCAAGGGACTCCCATCGTGGACTTTTCGCTCAAGGTGTCGCTGCGGTAGATGGTTTTGTGTATGCATGCGGGTTTGTTTATCATTCTGTATATGGCATTGGCGAACAGCCACGGGAGTTCTCGGCTTGTATCATTGACCATGGCATTGAGCATATCCTACATAAACGGTGGAGTAGACCCGAGTCCCAACTTGTAATGTCGTGGCTTGCGTGGACTTATGGTGTCGCGAGACATTCGATGTTGTCGCACCTTGCCTGGTGTCCGTCCACACTCTATGCTACAAGGCCAGAAACAGTAGAAGATGAGCCGGCGTCCGATATTGACCTCTATGAACTGTCGAGAACAATTGCTCCTCAACTATGCACAGCGCGAATTCATCAAATCCCAGGAATCAACAAAAACCAAAGGGGTATATAGTACATCGAGTCCAGTATAAAAGCATGACATGACATAATGTTCAACCGAATGACAGCCTTGAGCGCAGAAAATGACAAAAGGCGCTAGAGATGCACAACATATCATATGTGAAGGAAGATACTACAGGAAAGTGACGACGGATGAATGGATCGCAATGCAGAATGCCAGGAGGCAAATGTGAGCCGAGCTTAAACTTCAATGTCCACACATATCCCCTCTCCTTCGCTCGAGCTCAGCTCCTCATCCCTATGACGGCCATAATCACCGTCGTTGCTCGGATCGGAATGCTCTGATTTGCGGGCTCGACCGTGATCGTAATCGCCCTCGGTCGAGGTCTCCGCCGACAGACCTCGCCGCATGCGCTGTCTCTCCAGCTGAGCACGGAGCCGTTGGTTCTCCGCATCCCGCTCCTCGAGCCGCTTGCGCGCTCCGCTGCGATCAAGCAAACGCGCCTCCCGCTCCGCCTTCAATCGCTTCTCCAGTTCTCTCAGACGATGGATCCATCTCTCATTGCTTACCGGGTCACCCGATGCATGCCGTGAGCGTGAACTGGGGACCATGGCACCCGCGTCGTCAGCTGGCGCGTTCGACGATGGCTGGGGGATGCCTGTTGTCGAACTCCGGTGCGGATTCCTGGAAAGGTGGGGCGTCGCTGACTTTTCGATCACGGAACGGTGGCGGGTCAAGGCCGACTCTGCGTCTGTCCCGGACTCCGTGCTCAGTGTTCGACTGGGCGAGCGTGGGATGCCTTGTCCCATACCAGCGGCAACAGCTGCTGCGGACGTCGGCCCGCGACTGCGCGAATGAGACTGAAGCAGATTCAGCTCCGCCTTTAGCAGCCGGTTCTCTCCGCGTAGCTTGGCGATCTCGGGCGACATGCCGGTCTGGCCCCTGCTATGCTGCTGAGCCCGCAAATTCATCACCGACTCCTCTAAGCGGTCGAGCTTTTTGATGCGCTGTCCTAAGGTATGCTCAAGATTCTGATACTGCTTGGTCAGATCGCGCTCGACGCCCTTGATGCGGCTTTTAAATCCCGCTATCACATTCTCCAGCGTCTTGACCGCGAGCAAGAGGTTGCGGCTGAATCCTGGCCAGAATAGTATATTGCCAATCACCTCTTGGCTGGGTAGATTTCCATTGATGAGACTGTTCGAATGCGCCCAGTCCGGCCCACACATTGCGGACAGCCGCTTCCACATTGTCAGTAGCATGGAGTTTCGCTCGTTGAGTTGCTCTTTGAACTGCTGCTCCAGCGCTGTAAATCGCTTGCGGTCCTGGCTCCGGGCATTTTCCAACTCCGTAATGCGTGAATTGTTCTGAGTGATGGTACGAGATGCCTGGTGGTGAGATTTGAGGGCCTGTTCAAACGACTGCTTGTCCGCCCGACGGGCCTGTCGTTCACGTTCGAGGAGCTCAGCCAGCTTGCGAGACTCGAGTCCGTGACTTTCAAGAAGAGCATCACGGTTTCGCAAGAGAGTCTCTTTCTCGTCGAGCTTTGACCGGACGCTCTCAAGCTCCAAGGCTGTCGACTCAAGTTCTTTTTGTAACTTCATGATGTTCGAAATCAGGCTGGAACGGCTGCCAGTAAGATCGCCCAGCGTCTCCCTCAGGTTATTCTCCAAGTCCATAAGTCGCTCTCTCCAGGTGGCCGTTTCGATTTCTTGCGCAGACAGGCTCTTCTTCAACCTGCGGGCCTCCTCCCTGGTTGAAGAAGCCTCCCGGTTCAGTTCGTTGATGATGCGCTGAACCTCCTGTTTCTCCTTGGTTCCTACGACTTCGCGTTGATGTCGTTCCTCGGCCAGACGAGACTCCAACTCCTTTACCTTGTCCCTTTCGCTCTGCAGGCTCATCTGGCATGTCTTAAGTTCAGACTCCAGGTCCCCAATCCTGATCTTATCACCGTCTTGCTCTTCGCGCAGGAACGCAATCTCGTTTTGGCTCGATTCGATTTGGACAGTAAGTCGCTGCACCTTGGTATTCGCCTCATACAGACTCTTCTCCAATGCCTCCATCTCTCGGTTACAGTCCTGGAGCTCTCTTTGAACTGTTTCATATCGCTGCAGGTTGGTTTGCGCGTCTTCCTCGAGCCGTATGATACCTTCACTGGCGGAGCGCATCTCAGCTTGCAATGCCCGGAGGTTCTCGTCCTGATTCCGGAGCTCCTCTTCCAGACGCTCACATTCCTCTGTCTTTCGTCTGACATCCTCCTCGAGGTTTTCTATATCTTCTGTATACTGGGCGTCCATAATCTGCATGTTGACGATGCAGTCATTCATTTTTCGTTCAGCTTCGTCACGTTCTTGGTGTAACGCGTTGAACATCTCATCAGCCCCGTCTACGTCGGCCTGATATTGCTTGTCGAGGGCATCGTATTCCGCGATGCGTTCTTCTAACTCGGCCCTGATAGTTTGGTTCTCAAGTTTCAGTGCGGATACTTGGTCGCGCAGTTGGCCAATCCGCAGTTCCAGGTCCTCGCGTTCTGCATCATCGCTTCGAGATGGTCCTGTACCGTCACTGGCCCGCGAAGAGGATCTGCCCTGCGCCCGAGAAGCAGAGCGATCAAAGATGCTATCCCCGGCGATAGATCGAACACCGTCACGACGCTGACCGAGTTTCAGCTCCTCGATCTCTTGGTACAGCCGCTCTTTCTCCTTGTTACGAGATGTGAGCATGGATGTCTGTGCGCTAACTTCTCTCCTGAGTTCTGCATTCTCCTGCCTGAGGAGTCGTAGCTCTTCCACGAGTGTATCGCTGGACGAACTTGTAAGGGTCGGCATGCGGGTTAAATCTCTGTCGGAGGCTGTCGTATACGACATCATCGATCCCACGCGGTCTCGCTGCCCTGCTCTCGGAAGGGCCATCACGTAGTTCAGTTCGTTCCGGAGGGCCTGTACTTCATCCTTGATTCGCTTGTTTTCCTCCTCGGCCTGTTCCCGCGCGGCAGTTTCCGCATCAAGCATATCCTTCCACATATCCTGCAGCATCGTTATGTCAGTACCAAGCATCAGCATGTACGCCACAGGACATTGGAGTCTATTACCCTCTCTTCCCTTGCCCCAGCCTCCGAGCCGACCGGCCTGTCGCTCAATGCTTTGACCATCTCCGCAAGTCTCCTCTTTTCGCTTTCCCGAACAATACTCTCGGACCGAAGTCTCTCGATTTCAAGTTCGTAAGCCTCCTGTCTCTCCCTCAGATACAGGATCTCTTCGTCTTGTGCGGCATCCCGGGAATCCTCGTCGGAGCCTTCGGGATCGTGATTGGCCATGGACTCTTTGTCCGATTGTTGGTCCTTGAGCTGCTTTTCCAAGTCGCGGAGCTTTCTCTTCAAATTCTGATTGTCTTTCTGCAACTTGAGTTTGTCCGACTTCAGCTCGACATTCTCAGAGATCATCTCCTTGATTCCTTCCTCCGATCGCCTGTTCAGTGCTTCGTTGAGGAAGTGGATGCGCATCTTCAGATCAAAGTTCTCCTTCGACAGGCGGTCAATCGTGCTGCTTTGCTCTTTGAGCGTCATGGTTCGACCACTCCTCGTGAAACCCGGAGTTGGAAGGCCAGCACGCTTCTCAGGGGACGATGGTCGACCAGCAAAGTCTTCCTGGAACTGCCGGACAAATGCGCTTGGTACCTGGACGTCCTTGACACGTTCTGCAATGGCGGTGTCTGTTGGAAAGATGTTGTCTCGAGGTTTTGCTTTTGGTGTCATCGGCCCTTGATCATCTCCTAACGTGGGCGATTGGTGTTCTTGGTGCGACTGCGGCTGCGACTGCTGCTGAGATGAACCGGGCCGCGACTGCGATGTGCCTTCTTCCTCAGTCAGTGTCTGCAGGCCGCCCTCGGCAACTGCAGAGGGATTTCTCCTGTCCATGACATTCTCCTCACTCAGGCTAGAAATGCCGGAAGCCATGCTACCTAAGCTAATAGATCTCGTTAGGTTGTTGCGAGGGTCACCTTGAGCAGGATGAGAGTTGCCTGGGACAGCGCCACCGGACTGAAGGGCGTAGTCCGCGCCCAGCGTCGCATCGCTATTGGTAATCTCGGTGTTGTTACTGGCGACAGATGAATATGAGAGTCGATGAGATGACTGGCGACTGTTCAAGTATTTCGGCCTGCTGTCCCTTCGACTGCTTGTGCGGGAGGCTGCTTCTGCATCCTGAGCACTCTCGTTCTGGAAAAGTCTCGGCCGTTCCAACGATGAGCTCCGAAAACTTGTCTGTGTACTTAGATTAGCCGCCTGCATGGAGCGATTCAGATCTAGTGTCGTAGAATGGTCAGCGTCTTCTTGGCCAACCCTGTTGGTTGCCTGCGAACCCTCCGAGAAGGTAGATTGTACCCTGGTGGACGATCGCGCCGCGGCTTCCGCTGCAGGCGATGAAGATATTGCCTCCAACGTGGTTGTATCTTCTCCATGTTGTTGCGACACGGTAGTGGGTGTAGCATCCAGGCCCATGGTAGAATCGTCCTGAGGACCCAAACTTGGAGTTTGCGGAACCGGCACCTCCTCGCCAGTGGATACCAAATCGTGGCTCGTATTGTCCGCCGTCATGAAGGACTGGTTGGCCTCCGATGCGGCCGGCTCATGCGAATTTTCACTGTTATCCTGGATCAAGAGAGGGCCGCCGATACCCGCGGCCTGGTCCGAAGGAGCGACCTCGATTGTTGAAGGTTCAGGTAAGAAACTCGACTCCATGTCCATCAGTTTCCTCCGCATTTCTTTCTCTTCCAAGAAAGTCTGGTTCTCAGCGCGCTCATGGTCTCCGTCCTCGCTGGAAAGGAACAAACTATTGTCGTCGTGATCGGGCAAAGGAGGGAGGTGGGATATATTCGAATCGTCGTGGTCCGAAGGGTCGATCGTGGAGGTGGGATCGTCGTCTCGGCCTAATTCGAGCGTGGTCTCATCTTGCGTATGGTAAATATCGCTGTCTGTATCGTGAGCTTCGTCCATTGTTGTACTGCCGCCGAGGGGCGGATCTCCCCGTGTGGTGTCCTGCACCATCAAATCAAAAGGGTTACAGAATTCCTCCACCGACACGAATACTTCGTCGTCTGTGTCAAACGCGCCAGGGATCGAGACGCACGATGGGAGGAGATTAGATTGCGCGCAGTGTGTGATTTGGAAGATCGGAGACGGAGACGCCGGCGGCGAAAGGTCGGAATTGGTCGACATGGTGACAGTCGTATTATTGTTGTTATTATTATTATTATGATTTAGTCCAACTAGTCTAGTCGGTTTTAGACTGATGTTGGCGGCTTGGATCCGGCGTCTGGGCACACAGGGACACCAGTCTTTTCCTTGCTCCACATTCGCCTGAAGGAATCAGTCTGATTCGATCGAAGGTAGACAGATTGATAGAGATCATGATTCACGAAAGTTCAATCCTCATGGCCAACTTATGGCGTCGGGGCTTTGCTTAACTTACCTCCTCGGTAGGATAAATTCTTCGACAGCGTCAACAAATCAATAGATTGTTACCTCTCTACTCCGCACAAAATCATGATCTTGACAGCTGCATTGAATCCATGCAATGGCTCTGATACTTATAGACGGCAGCAATGGGTGAAAATGATGAGGACGAGGTTGTTAAGAAGCAAGGGATTGCAGGAGGAGAATGATGTGTATGATGGTTTCCTCTTCCCTCCTGACGTGGTAAACTGGTGGTGGTTGTTTACTGCCAGTGGCATTGTGACCAGTCAGACAATGTCACGCTATTTACTTTGAAAGGCTCCTTATATTCTTACTTGTTCTTCTTATTGACAGTTCAATTCAAATTTATAGAGCTTCGGAAGAAGTTTGTAGATGAAAAATCTAGATATTTTACATCAAGAATACAGCTCATACCGACCCTTAAGAAAAGGCAAAAGAGGGAAAGACACAAGCAAAGACTATCGTGATATCCATAACATCGGGCTCGTCATTCTCGCAGAGAACGAAAAAAATAAAAATAAAAATAAAAATAAAAATAAAAATAAAATAAAATAAAGAAATGAAGACAAGTGTCGTCGCATGGAGGCATATCTGCAGAACATCATGCCCGATTCCAGGCAAAGGTAGGTGTGAATGAAGACCGACAGAAGGCCCTATAGAGCGCTGAAACATGACATGAAGGATTCTAACGTCTCCGGGACGAATTTCCCGCTCACGAAGGGACGTCTTCTTCGCGAGTTGCATAGATCTTGTTTTTGGCATCTATTGCGGCTTGGAGCGAATCAATATACGTCCGGAACTTCACAATCTCCCGTAGCAAATAAGAGGATTTGCGTTCCCAATTGGCCATCGCCTTGGCTGCGTTGGGATGGCGAGGGGAGAACGCAAGTATCATGGCGGGTCGAAGCTCGTTGTGACGCGACAAGTCATCCTCCACGTTCTTGACGTACGTTTGTAAAGCCTTCAGCTGCTCGGCTTCGGGTAGTGCTGAGGCCGCCATACTCTGCTGAGGTGGTGCCCAATCACTGATATGTACCCGGTCCGCCGGCAGCTTAGGTCGGATGCCCTGCTGGTCGATAGAGCTGCGGATGGAGCTCTGAATGCTAGCTCGAGGCCCGGATGAAGGTGGCGTTCTGTTGTTGTCGGCGTGCACCAGAGCGCTGTTAATCACGGCATCGCTCCACCCGTACTCAATGTTACTGATTCCTCCGACTAGAGGCTCCTTGGACAACCTCGCGCTCCAGTAGTTGGCGGATGAGACGAATTCCCGGACAATCTCGGGTGTGCCCGCCTGAAACAGGTGAACGGCGCCAGTCGGCAAACTCAATGCCCAGACGTGTGGACGTGACTTGGAATAGCCTGGGGGTGGGAGTGCACTAGCAATTGTGTGCCGCAGGAGAAATTTCCAAATCTCCTGGGCATTTTCCGTCCAGTTCCCACCTCCCACCACAACCCCTCCATGGGGACGCTGTTTCGGTTTCTGGCGCAGCGTCTTCGCCGTGTTGCTGAACGAGAACAGACGCATCCAGCCTTGCTGAATCACAGCGAAGCATTCATTCCAATTGCGATCCTTGGCCCTCTTATCGACCGAATCCAGGTGTTGCTTGTGTTTGAGGCTACCTTCTTTGGCCCACGGGGCCCCGGCCAGTTGTAGAGTTTCATCCTCCAAAAGATGAGCTGTGCCTTCCTCTTCCACACTCGTAATGGAGTGCGCAGAATCCTCTCGGATGATCGCTTGGCTGAGTGCGTTCGCGAAACCAATCGACTGTTGATAATCCCCGCGCGGATAATCCGAGCCGAAAGAATCGACAGACGCAGAAGTCAATTTACCGAGAGAGTATTTACTCCACGTACTAGAGGCAGACGGACTCCAGAGAGACGACTGGTCATCCAAGCTGGTTCGGCTGGACCCCATCGTGGACGGAGGATACAACCTAGCCCGCGAGCGCGGTTTGGAAGACCATCGCGCTGTTCCATAGCGAGAATCAGCCGAGCGACCGCGAGGGAAGATGTCAGAGCCGCTCTTGCTGATTGTGCTTGGACTTCTCCGCAGACCATGGTGGTTGGCGCCAGGGCCGAGGAGATTATTTGACTGGGGTTGCGGGCCATCCTTGTCAGTTGCAGCGCCATGGAGTGGGAGCTTTTGCTTCTGAATCGAGGAGTAGAAGTCTCTCAGCACAGTCTCCACTTGTTGCTCCCATAGCCTCATTGATCCATGGAATGGCGCATTAACCAACGGTCCAACGTCGCTTTCAGGATCACCCGACAATTTGATCGAGAGATCGGTTCGAGACAACCGATTAACAAGCTTGTGGGGAGGGTGACTTGGCCGGTCTGTATCTGCATTGGACCCCTCAGGATTGTTGGACGGGTTCTGCTGCGAGGGGGCGGGTGATGAAGCCGACTCTTGCATTGACAGTTTCGATCGATTAGCAGGTCGAAAGGTTTCAAATCCGTCCGGAGCTGCTTCAACAGCAACCCGACGAATCGTCGGCATTGTGTTCCGAACAAACTGGTTCTTCGTCATCTTCTGCTCAATATCGGCCAGGTGAAGGTCTGTGTTCAAGAGCAGTAAAGAATAGCAGATAGTGTGGACAACATCTAGACTTTGTTAGTTCTGCGATACATTCTGTGATGGGAGGTGAAGGGATAGTGAACGCACCGGCAGCTTTGAAGCCATGTCGTGGGTTACACTGGCACCACCTAGTCGAGAAAGCATCCAGCACTCGATCTACCTGTTGCGTCTCGCCCTTGAGCACTAAGCGAGTACAAAGACTTCGTAGTGCTGCAAGAATATTCATGTTTGACCAGTCAAAGAGCTCCATGTATGCCGCTCTGATAGAAGCACGACCCGGATCGCCAAGCCAGGCAGCAGCCGGCTCACTGCCTACCACTTGGTCTTGACTATCGAACAGTCGCCTTGCTTGGTCTCGATCAGAGCTCGAGGGGCCGCCTGACAAGTCGTCGTCAGAGGATTCAGCAATGTCCTCGATGATCTGTGGAGTCTTAGCATCCTCCGACGGCACCGCAGGGGTGTTGGCGGCTGTAAAGAATTCTTCCGAGTCTGCAGGCGAGACTTGAGACGAAGCATCCGCCTTCGTAGTGGGAATGGATAGCTTGCTGGGCTGGGCCCGCTGGTCTCCGCCGGAGTTGGATCTCTGGCGATGGCTTGCAGTTCTCTCATCCGAGTTGACGGTGGCGGTTTCCGTGGTTAGGTACTCTGAATTTTCCAGAGGCGATCCACTTGCCGGAGATATACTCTCGACTACCGGGGATAGAGCCGGAGCGGATTTCGTAGTCGCTGGGATCATGATGTGGGAGGTGGCATCAGTCGTCTGACCGACCTTGTCGCCCTCGGAGGAATTGAGGCCATCCTCAACCGCCATTTTCTCCTGCTTTCGATCAACAGAGGAGGTTGAATCCATTTCAGTGGTCCTGGCTGTGGACTCTTCATCTCCGCTGCTGTTCATCAGGAATGAAGTATCGTGGCCACTGCCTGCGGTTGGAGGCGGATATAGGCTGTATTTTGATGTCTGACCGCCCTTGGCGGGAGCTTTAGAGACATTTTCTTTCTCGTTCCTTGCTGCGGTAAGGCCTGTATTCATATTTTCTGCAGGATCTGCACCTGCGGCCCGAATCGGGCCACTATTGGACTTATCACATGCGGCGCCAACGCCATCAGCAAGGTACGGATTCATCACCTTTCTGAGACTACTGACAGGGCTGGGTTCCGGTTTCAAAATCTCCACAGCCTTGGGGCCTAGTTCCTGGGGAAGAATGATGGGAGGTGGTAGGTTGTCAGTCATAGATATCGACTTCTTTCGCCGACGGAAAAAGGAAGACTTCTTGTTCACCACATGTGGCTGACCTTCGCGGAGTGCATTTGCGCCAGACACATTGTTTCTTAACGGCTGTCTGCGGCTCCTGAGACTTCCGCCAGCCGCATTTGTCTCCTTGGTGCCGTTCTCTTGGGGCAATGTGCTGTCAGATTGGATGCTTTCCGACGGTCCTGAAGGGGTGTTTTTCGATGATCCGAACACTCGCCGGAAAAATCCCTGGCGCTCCTTGGCAGGTGTTGTGTCTGGTGAGGCCAGTATAGCAGGTTTATTGAACGAAATCGTCGGACTTGGAGCGGGCGGGTCGAGCGATGTTGATATTGCTGGTGGCGGATCCAGCCCGTCATCCGCCAGCTTGGCAAGCTCGCTGTCTGCGCCTCGCATGATGGAGCTGGTACCAATGTTGTCCGGCCGACTTTTCTTGGCATGGTTGGTTCGGGACGATTTGATGCTATTCCGCCGGGAGGCTACCGGTGTCCGCGAAGACTGACTGTTCAAGATACCGACATAGTCATTTTGAGCTGAGGAGTGTAACTTCCGGGGCCCAGCCGGCACGCTCGGTGTTGGGGCGGCGTCTGTACTGTCGTAGAACGTGGAATCAAAATCGGTGGAAATGAAAGGCGGCCTCGTACCGTAATCGAAGCTGGCCGAACGTCGCTCGCCCGACGAGTCCGCTCTCCCTCTGATGAGAGCTGGACCGAAATCGAGGTTGGAAGATGAGCTTGCTTTGCTGCTTTTCCTCGTCCCACGAGTCGTTTGATCGGCCCCGGTGACAGTTCGATAGTCGTAGAGTTGACCCCGTGAATTGGTCCCTTCTCGGCTGCGGGTACTCCCGAATCGTCCCAGACTGGAGTGATACTGGGAGCTACTGTTGCTCCGGCGGCCTCTGGCCGCAGAGGCCGGCTGGGTTCCATAGCGAGTCGAGCTGTCGTCGTAGCCAAAGTCTGCTTCCGATGAAAGGGAGGAGGAGAATGTATGGCCGCGATACCGATTTGGTCCCGCGGATTCCTGCGAGTTCCGACCGTACAATTCGGATTCAAAGACAGAGTTGAAGAGTCGGTAGTCATCGAGGATCGAATTGCCTGTGGACAAAGCGAACTGATCTAGAGAAAGCAACATATTGTCGACAATGGACGTGCGCGCGGCATGTTTTGGGGACAGGGAAAGGTCATGAGGATCTCGCTCTTCGCTTGAGTCGTTACTGCTGTTGTTCGCATTGTCGGCTGGATTCGTATCATCTAGGAAGGTTTCGCGCAACGAGGGACGGGGATGGAGGCCTCGCTTGAAAGGCTTGCAGTTGGACGCTTGAGAAGGCGGTGTTCGAGGGGGCGAGCGATTTGTGTGTGCATCCTTCCTGATGCTGCTCGACCGGGCTGGGCGATTCATAGTTGAGCACTTGGTCAGGATTCGTGTGTAGCGGGATGAGATCTAAATGAACCAGCGACCCGGCAACGCCTGGGCACACTGTGTAGAAAAAGCTGCCACCCGCTACGTCGTCCAGTACGACGACGCTCGTGGACGAGCTCTGATGGGGGCTTTCAATCACAATGGCTGGCTGTCTGCGAGTTGGCCATATACATATATTCCTCTTCAAATTCAAACCAATCTTCTTCAGGAGGAGACAAAGGTAGGTGTGCGTGTGAGTATCACCTGTCGGTCATTGTGGAAGCGGAAGCAAAGGTGGCCTTGATTCCGCGCGGTAGGGGAAATCGGACAAAGCGAAGGTCAATTGAACGAAAGGAAGTCCTTGGGACGACAGATCGCAAGCAGCCGGCGACGCTGTGAGGAGCCTGGCAGTAATGGGGCAGTCAGAGAAGAAAAAGAAACAAACCCCATAAAGATTATGAAAGTGCTAGTCTGAATAAGATGATGATCGGGGAGGGGAACGGATGGAGACCGGAGAGTGGACCGTGGAAGCCTCAGGCAAGGGACCAGGAACCGGAACCACCAACGAAAAGGATGAAACACGGAAAGCGATGGATATTAAATGTTTTCGGATTATGAGACGATGAGGATTGAGGTGTTCAATATTCGCTAGTAATTGTCAATGCGACCGTCAGACAAGACATGAACCTCTCAATGTCGCATGTCGACCAAGTCCGTAACTTTTCAGGGGCAGAACATGAGATGATCCACTTGCTCACTAGAAACTAGAATCGGATAAGGCTAGAGTTGCGTTGTTGGCTGCAGAGGCTTGACACTAAGAATCACTAGTCTGAGCAATAACAAAAGTTAAGAGGACAAACACTCTGGCAGTCTAGATATGGTCTGGCGTCGAGTGTCTGAGAATCTGCATGTCATGATTCCTTTACTTGTTCAAATAAATACATGACGAATGACTCGTGTAGTGCATACATAGGTAGCAATGGATCTAGATATCATTCTCCTGTAACTACCTCTTTATTAGAAGAGGTATACAATGTCACTGTCTTACCTAGGCTAGTCCATCGGCCCATCGTTGAACTATTCATCCATGTGGGCTGGTGGGGACGGGACTCACGGGAGAGACAAGAGTACCCCCAAGGATTATCTACCTACTCCATACTACTGGAGCTGGATCACTAGGACGGAAGCTTTGACTGGCTCGGTCTTAGAGGAAGTATCGCTGTAAGCGAGGAACTGCTTTACTACTGCCCTGTAAAGTGATTAGTTTCAAGTAGAGTTGCCAATGTATCACAGAGTATTATACTGGAATTGCGGTGTTTATCGGACGACAGGACAGATAAAAGAAGAGTGGCATATTTTAAAGGCTACATACTCTCCACAGGGCACTTGGTCATAGAATCCAATTGATAGATCCGTCTCGTCCATCTCGACTGCCCGACTCTGGACTATGAATCGTCCATGCAGCCGAATGAATTGCTGAAATCGCTGGTGTCTGTAAGGCAGACATACATCCGCTTGTGACGTGTCAAAACCTTGAATCTTCCATGAATCATGAACGGCCTTCGCTAATCTGTACGTAGAATCAGCTTCTTCTTCGATCCATGTCGAAAACCCCATGTGTATCGTGGAGACGTAGACGCACTGCCAAAATCGATGCCTTGATAGTCCACTGAGATCTAGTTTCTGGATAGAGATCTGCCGAAATCAGTCGAGACCTGTCACTCATTCGCCAATGTCTCTCCAACAATCAAAATGATCTGCTGCTGTTATGAGGACATTTATCATGAAAGCTAGAGCAATCACATCTGAAGTCGTGTGAAGAGCACTGAGTTGTTGGTTCAAACCTTTCAGTTCCTCGGCATTGCTAATCAGGAACCAATTTTCTGCTCTCAAGCACACATCCTACCTAGTCTAGATCATGCTATATTCTAGGCTGACGGGCGATCTTGGAAGTGCTATATCGAAACCTCAGAGTCATCCGGAGCCCCGGTTCCCAAAAGTCATCGATTATAAGAGATTTGTTAAGCATCAGCAACGTTTAAACAGCGTGAAGAGAGTGTGGAAATGTGTAGAGTGGACTCCATAGTATAACTTAGGTGTCTAGTCCATTAAATGCTTAGTAACGGCGTCAACAGAACAGATGACATAACGGGCGACAACGGGAGCAACGCCGACACTCATCTCCACCAACACAACATCAGCAACAGTTAGCTAGTTGTACGGCGGGATCAGTACTGAGCTATCCACTCTTCTTCTCAGTGGATTACACACGTTGTTCCCCTTCTCAGAATTTCTGGGAAATTGGGGAATCTTTTTTCAAAGCCTCTACAAGATGAACCCGACCATCTCCGTTCCACGTCAACATGCCAGCCCTGCCAGCTTTGGCGGCACAACCCCAACGAGAAGCGGATCCAGTATACGGATGCCGCGTTTCTTCAAGAGGTAGGTCTTTGGACTCGGCTATCATATGATGTGTCCGACTGGATAATCTAGGATGTTCGCTTGTCTCTCTCAGCGTGAGCATGGCTGACCGTACCTTTTACGAGCAGGCTATTCAAGTTCCCGCAGATGGATTTTGAAATGGCAATCTGGGAGATGACATCACTATTGATAGCTCCTAAGAAGGTGTTCAAATCAATTTATTATCATGTAAGTGTTTCCTCTCCAGGCAGTCCGGTAATTGCTTGCTAAATGTCATGGTCGATTGGTAGAAACGTACGTTGGACGCGCTTCCCCTTGTTCGAATCCTCCGGACCAGACCGTCGGCGAGATCACAAGATTAACACAGCTAACCCTCTTTTACTTATCGGTACAGAAACCAAAAACACCTGGCACCGTCCGGACCCCTCCTTTACGTATTTGCTCTCCTTCTTTCTCCTACTCACTGCGCTCGCATGGGGACTGGCTTATGCGCCGGCCTTTGGCTCGATCGTCCGCCTGTCGCTACTCTTTATTTTTGTCCACTTCATCGGTTCCTCGCTGGTGGTATCAACAATAGCTTACTTTGCGATTCCACGACTGTTTGGCCCTGACGGTGCGGCTGCATCCCTGTCCGGATTCAGAGGGTCTCGCGGACGGAGGCGCGGCGCGGCACAAGGCTTGTTCGTGCAGCCTGGGGAGAAGGATCAACTGGAGTTTGGATACTGCTTCGATGTGAGTTTTCCATCCCGACGCTCTGGATTGGTCTATGCAAAAGGCAACGCTATCCTGGCGGCCTAGAACTGACTTTTGGAGTTTGCAGGTGTCGAATCGGGCCTTCTTCCCTCTATATCTCCACCTCTATGTCGTCCAATTCCTCCTTCTACCCTTACTCACTCGCAGTCCGAGCAACTTCCTCGCTACTTTCCTGGGAAATACGCTCTATCTATCCGCGCTGATATACTACACCTACATTACCTTTCTGGGGTACAATGCCCTCCCGTTCCTACACAACACCGAGCTCCTCCTTCTTCCGATCCTGGTCTTGTCCATCCTGTGGCTCGTGAGTCTGATTGCCGGCTGGGGGGTCGTCATGCATGGGCGCAGCGTGGAGTGGTTGTTTTGGGGTGTCTGATGCCCTTGAGGTGCTCGAATTGACACCATCGTGCTAAAATAGCGTTTCTGCGTTGACCGATACATGCACTGTTCATATATATCCCACTTTTTCCTCCCTCTGCTCCATCGAGCTCAGAAAATAGGGCGTTGGTGTACATGGGTGTCATTTGGTTCGTTCTGGTCTTCGTTTGTCTTTGCGTGATTTGGGTGCATAATCTGCATAACGTGGCATGTTGTAATGGTTTCGGCTGGGGGTGCGTCTTGCGTTGTAAATAGATCATTTACCTGCTTATGGCGAGTTCGTTTGGGGTGATCACCCACTAAGTCCTACATTTGACTCTGTGTTACAATATCCTGGGAAGGGTTTGAATGCAGAGGAGATGCCGAACATGCAGTCATCCCTGTAACGATCATATCTGTTCAAAACGTCTAGAGCGAGTATGTACTCAACATCAACTAGAGAAGATATATTGCCGATATTGTCCAAACCTGATAGCTGGCCAGATTCATCGCGTCATTCCAGCGTGGGTTCGCAAGTGGGAAAACCCTCCACAGCTCCATTGAAACAGCTCATTAATTCTTCTTCGAGCCTCCCTTCTTCTTCCCCTTGGTCTCCTCGCGGCGCTTCATCTCCTGCTCGCGCGCCGCCGCCTTCTCCCGCAGCAGCGCTTCTTTCTCTTCCTTCTCGGCCTGCTTGCGCAGCCGTTCAGCCTCTCGCTGCTCCCGGATGAGCGCCAGACGGGCCAGGTCCGCCCGCGCCTCCTCCGTCTTGCCCTCGGCGTGCAGTTTCATGTACCGCTCCCGGGCCTGCTGCGCCTCGATGGCCTCGCGTTCCCGCCGGGAGAGTTGCGAGAGATCGCCGCCCGCGGCCTTCTCCGGAGCTGCCGCGGGATCCTTGTGAAGCTGTGAACGGGACTTGGCGGTGTGGTTGGGGTTGGCGGGGAGGTCCTCGTCGTCGCCGTCGTCGCTCTCATCTTCCTCCGAGTCTGAGGGAGGCAGGTCGCCCGGTTGCGCGGCGACGTTGTTCCGTCGCGCGATCGCGGCTAGCTTCTTCGCCTTGGCTGCGGCGCGTCGTTCTTCGCGGGTCATTGCTGCTGGTCCTGCTGATGACCCGGCGACGGTGCTAGGCCCGGCTTGTGCGTCGTCCTCGTCCGAGGACTCCTCCTCGGAACCGGAGGCTTCTTCTGACTCATCTTCTTCAACCGATGAGGGAATGTCGTCGCCTGGTTCCTGTACGGCAAAACAGCGACGAGGTGAAAGGTCAGATGTCTCATTTCCTGTAGATAACGATGGGTTCGGTTCCTGTGAGGGAATTTAGAGGCACGTACCCGCCATAGACCAACGGGGTTTCCGTCCTTGTCTACCGGTTGAACATCGCGACTGAAACGTTTGCCCCCTGCGTGTCGCGAATCAATATCTCCCTGTTTGTTCTCCCGGTTCGAAAGTAACGTTTGGATGCGTCCCTACCTCCTCTGCTGGGTTTGGAGAACTTTCCGCGACCGCGGGGTGCCATGTTAAGTAGAGATGCAGAAAGTAGCGTAAATTGCGTAAACTTCGGGGGTACAAGTGCTGTAAAGAGCTGAATGAATTACCACTGCCGATTAGCAAAAACACGCTGCCTTGAAAGCTGCTCTAGACGAGATATGGTCGTATGGGAGGGGCAAAACGGGAGAGGGACACAAATTGGAGATGAGACGCTCACATCTGCTTGAGAAAGGAATACGGTAGATACCACTCCCTGAATGACTGAAGGAAGAGGCTAGAGTGGTAGCAGACAAATCCCTTGACAGGTAGACTCCACAGACCAAAAAGAATGGCGACGTGCCGGTTGAATGCTTGAGTCACGCAGAGGATTTCCCAGGCGGGGAGAAGCAGAGGAGACACAGGTCCACCGCCAACGAGGGGAGGATTATGATCCATCACAACATTGGATAACTTCATGTTATTTAGCTACAATAACCATCAAAATGGTCAATTAAATGATAATTATTTCACGAGATACGCCCAGCGTGATATGCGTCTGCTTCATCACGATCTTCTTCCTCCCAAGGTCCAGTCTACAGCAACCTCCTTGACTGAGTTTACATCCGATGCCATGTGAACCCCAGTTTGGCTACTCTTGCAGCGACCAAAGTCAGTGTACCAGCGAGAATCGCACTGCCCATGAACATCTGAGCGTAGAGGTATTGTCCGCCGGCCGTCTGAACCAAGGCTCCCGCGATCGGAGACCCGATCAGCGCTGCGACTGCGACCACACTGAGCACCATGCCCATTCTCACTCCGGCTTTCTTCAAGTCGGTGGTCAGGGAGGTCAGGGTGGCTGGGAATAGCGACTGGATGCCCGCGGCCGCCAGACCATAGAAGGCGCTCCATGCGTATAACCCGTGAATCTCGTCGACCCCGGCCCAGCAGAAGGATACCAGGCCGGTGACCAGGCTGAAGGGGATCAGCATGTTCAACGGACCGGTGTACCAGTCAGCCATGGTATTGGGGATCACCCGACCCAGGATGCCGATGCCGTTCATGACCAGCAGGATATACACCGAGGTGGTCTCGGAGACCCCGATGATGTTGCGGCCAAAGCTGCCGATGTAGAAGAAGCCGACGTAGAGCCCCCAGAAGTTGAGGAACATCCCGATGGCAAAAAACAGGTATGGCAGCTCCTTGAAGGCGGCCCATTCCACCAGCGGGCCGCTCTTCCGGGGCGGCAATCGTTGTTTTAGGAAAACCACCGGAGGGACGAGCGTGGCCAGAGTGATGAAGCCCAGAACGCGCATCGTCCAGGCGTATCCGACCTGTGGCAGCAGGCGCACGACGACCGCTGGAAAAACCAACCCTCCCGTCGCCGATCCACAGGCCACGATTCCGATGGCAAGGGCCCGTTTCGTGGTAAAATACGTGGCCATCAAGGCTACGGTCGGGCAGAACATGAGGCCGCAACCGATGCCCTGACCGACTCCCTGAGCGAGGAACAGCTGCCAGTACTCGGTGCACAGGGAGGTCATGAAGATGCAAAAGACTTCCAGCAGCGCTCCCGTGGCCAAAGTGACTTTGAAGAAGCCGGCATCCGTCGCACGGCCTGACAGTGTTCCAATGAAGAAGAGTAGGAAAATCTGGATGCTGCCGACCCAGGAGATGTCGGATGGAGGCCGGCCCAAGTGCTCCGTATAGTATGTCTGGAAGACACCAAACCCGTTGATATACCCCCAAGTGTTGAAGATGACGAAGTGAGCCAGGAGGACCTGGGTCCAAGCAAAGAGACCTCCATCAGGAGGAGGGCCGATATCCTTTCCGGATTCTCTGGTCCGCACAAGTGACAAGGTCCGGGCAGCCAATGTCCCGATATGACTGGTATTGGTGACGGTTCTAGAGAGCGACTTCGACCGAGGATCAGCCCTGTTGTTCACACCGGACTCCTCATCTTGGGGAAAGCCTGCCAGCGGAACAAAGCGATCACTTGTGGTATCATCGAGTTGCTCATTTGGAGGGTCTTTCTCATTGACCGGGACAGCGCCAGGAGTGTGATCTTGTGCCATCACCTATGTATGTATTGTCAGCAGATATTCGAATGAAGAAGAGACAGAGTCACGCTCAGAGACAAGTATACCTACCATATTTCAATGACTCAAAACACCTCACCCACAACAGAAGCCGAATCCGACTAGAGAAACCCACTGCAGAAACAACACAGCTGGAGACTAGTTTTCTTTTTTGTCTGTTCTCTGATTGATCGATAAGCACAGCGACGGTCTGTCAAAGTTCTCGAGCTAGTATTTAGTCGACAACTCTCCATGACTGGATTTTTCTTTCAGATCTTTCAGCGGTTCGCACAGAAGACCGAAGTCGAGTCATCGTATATACCTAGTGCCGGCAACCACATCCGGGAGATGAGGGGCTGTCCCCGACGATCTTTCGTGAATTGCGGAGGGGCAAGTCTGAGATAATGAGATTGATTTTGTACTCGGTCGAATGACGATGGATTGCAATTAGCTCTTTTATTCCTCGTGAACCGGGTACGATGCTGTTGATGTTCGCCGTGACATTGATGGTTCGGAAATGTCCGCATTTTTATATAACGGGTACGAAAGAATAGACACGGGTGGGGGTGAACTCCATGTATGCTATGAACTCGATGTCCATTACTCGCTTCATAAATCTTCTAATGAAATAGTGAAACTGTTTCCGTCTTCTCATCATCGACCATCCTCTAGAACAGATCTCTTACCATCTCCTGCGCTGCGGAACCGTGCATCCGATCTGACTTGGGCGTATAATACTCCGATCTAATTAGCACTCAATTGACATCTTGTCCACAGAGATAGAAGGTTCTGGGTCTAGTATTCAAGGGAGAAAGTTCGATTTCATCATATCTCTATCCTCTAACAGCCTATATTCAAAGGCGTACCTGTCTCTCCGCCCTCTATCTATAGTAAAGTCAATGAAAACCAATGCAGAAAGTCACAAGCAGTCGGAGGAAGAGCAAGGAGGAACCATAATGGAAAAGCATTGGGAGAGAAAGATGATGAGGAAGAAGATGAAGCGGTTTCAAATTGCGGAAGATGCAGGCAGATGTCAGGAACATCTCCACACACTCCCTCAAAACACCTTCTGTTGCATGTTCGGACGGCCGATAACTCTTCGACCCTCGACTTGTTCTACGTTCTCCCCGGAGATCAAGAAGACGAGATTATATATCGCTAGTGCAAAGTAATCATATTTCGTTAGAACGTGATTTTGCAGCCAAACGGCCAAAGCATGGCACGACCAGCCCTGCCTCACATCGTCCCTAGTATTCTTGCGCAGAAGAACTATTGTTCAGCATCGAAATCGTTCCAATCACGTCAGCTGGCTCAAGGAGGTGCCAGCTGGCTTCCGTCTGCTTCGAACTGGCCCCAACGGTGACCGAGAACACATGCCCAGCGGGGAGGCCGGACTTCTTGAGCGCACGGAACATGTCTACAACAACAGTTAATACAAGTGACAGATCGAGCACAGCCAACGGGAATCGATAATACTTACCCTCATCGGTGAAATCGTCTCCCAAGCAGAGGACGAATTCTGGAGCTTGCCCGGGTTCTGTTCCGTATTCCTGGACTAACCGCGCCGCAATGAAGCCCTTGTTGACAAAAGTCGGCCGCACCTCCAGATTGGCCTTACCGGCCATCACCTCGACTTCCCACCGCTTGGCTACCGTCTCCTCCAGCATCTTACGGCACTCCCGGGCCTGGAATGCACCGTACTCGGGGTCCGCTCGGCGGTAGTGCCAGGTCAGGGCAACCCGTTTGCGCTCGATGAAGGAGCCTTGCGTACGCTCGGTGAAGTGCTGGAACACCTCCATCACTTCCTTCTGCCATCCCATATCACTCGACTCGGCAAGGTTTTCCCAGTCATCCGACCGCGGCTGCCGGATGAAGCAGCCATGCTCGGCGCTCAGGCCCAACTCCGGGATGTGGCCCATCCATTCATCCAGGAACGCCTGGTCGCGACCGCTGATGATCCAAACCGCATTGCGAGGGTCCGCGGCCAGAGTCTTCAGCGTCCGCAGCACCCGATCCGATGGGATGGCAGCCTGCGGGTCTTTGACAATGGGGGTGAGAGTACCGTCGTAATCGAACATGAACAACCTCTTGCGCGCTTTGCGATACTGCTTCAACAGCTTCGCGCGGTCCAGCGCCGGCGTTGCCACGGATTGGTCAAAAGAGGAAAGATTGGTCAGCAGGCGGGTGACAAACTGGTTTGACCAGGTCGAGATGGTATTCGTGGTGACGTGCTTGTAGAGTTTGACGTGCTGCGCCTTCTTCTCCTCCGGGGACATGGTCAGGGCTCGGTTGATGGCTTCAGCGACGCCGGTCGTATCCCATGGGTTGATGTGAATGGCGCTGGATAGCGTGCCCGCTGTCCCAGAGAACTCGGAGAGAATGAGAGGACCATGAGTATTGTGCTGGCAGAGGATGTATTCCAGACTCGTCGTGTTCATGCCGTCCCGCACGGTGGTGATCAGACCCACATCGGCGACCCGCAAGAGCGCGAAGTACTCGTGCTGGGAGAGATACTGGGGGTAATACTTGACGGGCGAGAAGCTGATCGAGCCGAAGCGGCCGTTGATGGTAGACACCAGGTTTGAGATCTGGCTGGCGATCTTGTTCTCGGGGTCCTCCTTCTCCTCCTCCACGCTGGTTGGGCTGGTCACTTGGATGAGGACGACCTTCTCACGCCACTCCGGATACCTCTCCAGGAACTGTTCAAATGCCTGCAGCTTCTGGGCCACACCGCGAACGCTGTCCAGTCGATCACGGCCGACAATGATCTTCTTGCCGGCGTACAGTTTCCGAAGTCCCACCACAGCCTCTTCGATCTCGGGGTAACCATAGGCCGCCTTCTGGATGGCCTTGACATCAATTCCGATTGGGAAGACGTCCACCGCAACATGAGCGCCGTAAGCATCCACGCCGGCGTTATTCGAGTCGAACCCCAGGACACGCGTACAACAGGACGAGAAGTGACGCGAGTAGGAGAATGTCTGGAAGCCGATCATGTTGGCACCCAGGACACCAGTCAGGACTTCTTTGCGCTTGGCCAGGCAACGCATGAACTCGCTGCTGGGAAACGGGGCGTGCAGGAAGAATCCGATGTAGATGTTCGGTATCCGTTGCCGCAGCAGACTGGGCAGTAGGAAGAGATGATAATCGTGGATCCAGACGATGTCACCTTCCTGATACTCCTGTATGATACGGTCCGCAAAGAGTCTGTTCATGCGGACGTAATCTCCCCACCACTTCCGTTCTGACCTGCCATCCGTGGGACCGTGTTGCTTGTAATGAAGCAGGGGGTACAGCTCCTTCTCCGCATATCGCCTCCATCTGCCTTGATCTTCCAGGAAGACCGAAGACTCCTCGGGCTCTTCGGACTCGTCCGACAACCATACGGGAGCGATCTTGCCGTAACGGCCCGAGCTCAGCTGAGCGTCAAGACGCGCTCGGTCTTCTTGACTGACTCTGAAGCCTTCGAGAAGCGGGTGGCTGGGTGGTCGCTGCTGCGAGTCTACGGGCACGGGGGCCGCTGCTCTGTTCAGTGGAACGGCAACGCCATTGAGCGCGGGCGGTAGCCTTGCGCCAGAGTTGACTGGAATGTGTTGCAGAGGAACGGTGGCGTCTTGAATTGGTTCCACCTCGCCGGTCCAGCCAACGAGCGTATGGGACCATTTCGTCTCTCCGGAGCCGAGATAAGCAAAGGAATCAAAAAGGGCAGAAGTTCCGGGACGGGGTTTGAGATCCTGTTCAAATGGGGTTCATCTGAGCGTTAGTCCAGTGCCTCCCAAGTTGAGGAAAAGGGAAATGAAAAGATCATGGGGGCAGCATACCCAATCGGAACCAGGACGGTAGCCGACCTTGTACGGAATACAGAAGGCGGCGCTGATAATCCGCCCCGTGAGGTTCAAACCGGGATATTGTTCGCGGGGGTCAAAGTCCGGAATCATTGGGGAGCGGCCGAGACTCAGACGGCGGAGGAGCTCAACAGGCGACTTTGCATTCTTGGCTGCATCAGCTGGTGAGCCGGGAGAAGCGGTATCGGAGACGGTCGACGACTGTTTGGTGCCAGGAACCTGAGAGAAGTACGAGGGGGCGTCATTAACCAGGGGATGTTTCTTGTCGGTCTCCAGACTAGGAGTGGCATTTGAGGCATTGGTATAAGCCTCTTCACCCAAAGACTTCATGCCGGGACCGACCATGACGGGGTTTGGCTGGCCGTCAGGCACTTTGGCGGGGGAGTCCTGGTTGGCGGCCATGACGAAAACGGCCCAAGATGGCGGAGGGGCAGATTCCAATTGCTCAAGGCTCGCGGGGAATCGATGATTGCAGAACTATTTCCGAGGAGAGTCAGATCGAGTGAATATGATTAGTGGAAAAGCAAGACGACAACTGAGAAGATAAAATGGGAATACGAACCTCGGAAGGTAGAGAAATGGGGAAGTAGAAGGACGAGGGTCGACAGGATACTTAGATAACGATTCCTCCGTAGTTGTAGTAAGGTGGGGTGGGCGGAAAGTGAGGCCGGTGAGGAAGCGGGAGACGGATGACAAGGTCGATATGATTATGATCGATACTATGAGCTGAAAAAGAAAGCCATGAGCGATAGGAAGAGTAGTTAAGAGTAGTTGAATGGATTGAAAGTGGGAGGAATCAATCAGAAGAATTCGAGGGAAAACGAGGAAGAGTGAGTTGGTGGAGGGAATCTGGTAGACTGACGATAATGAAGATTTGGTTGGCAAAACCCGGTTTTGATCAAGTGGAGGAGAAAGGATGAGCAACAGGAAAGCGGATTATCTAGAAAGAATATATTATTCTATTATTATATTTATTATTTATACTATGAGTAAAATTGGAGGCCATGGACTATCTAGAATAAGGGTTTGGGTTGCTCCATACCAAGTATCTAGACCCCCGACTATTTTTATGGCTACAAAACTAGTACTACGAAACCACTACGACTAGATACTCGGTGTCTATAGACTAGGTTAACTTTTGGGTATGAACGAGGGGCACCAGGATGGGCGGTGAACATATATTATAATCAATCAGTCAATCAATCAAGACTAGTTGGTGCTGAGGGAATATTTATTATGGATAATCAGCAGGAAGGATTGGGATATTATTTTAGTATCATTGCTCACGATCATCTCCATAAGAAAGGGGTTATCGATACAAGGACTCGGTAGAGGAGTCCAAAAGGAGAAAAAGGGAGAAGCTGACAGAAAAGGGGAGAGCAGGAGAGAATCAGTCAACGGATCTAAGTAGTCCAGGCCGATAAGAATGAGTCCCTAGTAGACTAGTGGTAAGAACAAGAGAGAAGAAGATACTGAATTACTTGCTAATAATAATCACATAGCATGTTCCTTGACTTCAGTAGCTGCAAGGCAAGACTGCAAGTATGTATGTATGTATGATGAATATTGAAGATGAATAATAATATGACGATGAGGACCCGAAGAAACAGGCACATGGCTGGAAGTTCTCCCCGCTATTGTACCCATCCGGTACGTCATGTTCCAGCCATGTCTAGTCGTCTACTCCGGTACCTTAGGCATGCATTGATTTCATGATGCTTCCCTGCAGGTTGTTGTATGCAGTGATCGTCCCGATCAATTATCTTCCGAATTCTGGACTTGTAGATTCTAAGCTGCCCTGTCACGTTGATCATGATCTTCATTCTTCTCTTCGTTTGATTCGATCATATCATTCCACGTGGAGTACTCCAAGGACAAAGTAGACAGACCCCTAAGAGACTTAGTGAAGTCGTCCCGAGGAGCTCTAGGTACAGACAGTGAAAGAAAGGGCTATGAGGTCCAAGCATGATTGGTCCTTTTGGTCCAATGGGAAATGAGAAAATACATGTCATAGGTTCTAGGGCTGCTCCTCACGTGATTAATATCACATGATCTTATCAAGTCAAGTCAGGTGATTTTATCGTTTCTCCGAGAGATCTGAAGAATTATACCATTTCATCCTATCTCGTCTTCTCCAATTAGCACAGGGCGTCTACATCTCACACCTTACCGTCAAAAAAATTTACAGACTGCCTCTGAGTACATGCTCAAAGCCGCGATTGCTGCCCCGCGATGTTTTGTATATCCCACTGATCGCGCAGCAATGCGCTTGGGTTCCGCTCTTCGTCTCTCCTCTCCTCCAATTCTCTTCTCAGCAGCACCTTTCCGTCGACAGGTACATGCTTCCGGCGTCAGATCAATTGATCCTGCCATCTTTAGAAATAGCCTTGAAAAGACTCTCGAGGCTCACCGGTCCTCCAATCGAGCCAGTCTGGTCCGCAAGGTGATCAACGACACCTGTCCGGCTGGAACATCCCCTCCGATTATACCGCTTGAGAATCATGCTGGTTATGATCAGTCATCTGAAAAGGTCTCCTCTGTGTCAAGTGCAGAGTCACAGTCCCTGCGGTCTCTTGCGCCTGCGAGGCGAGCGCAGAGGAGGGCCCGTTCGTCGAGCCAAGTAGCCGCCCCGCAGCCCCAGACTGCAAAATACCCACAGCTGCAGTGGCATGCAGATGAAACCAAGGGCCGGCCGGAACAAAGTCCTTGGCTGAAGTACTTGACTACCAATTGCAAGGCACCCGATGCCGTTTCGCGTCTCGACGCGGAGATCCGCGCTCTTGAGGTCTACATGACACCGACCCCGTCGGAGCAGAGTGAGATAGATCGGCTGGTTGCAGATGTGGGTAGGTTGCTGGCGGGAATTATCCCCAGCCCGCCCCAGGTGACCGGCTCATGGCGGACGCGATTCGCTCTGAGCCACTCGGGTCTCGATTTCGTCTTACCCGTCCCGGATTCAGACCGATCCACCCGTGACGTTCGCAAGCCGAGTGCCACACGGCCCAAGGTGCTCCAGACTTACAAAAAGCTCCTACATGAAGTTGGACATGCGCTTCAGCAGTCCCCCTCGTTCGCGGGGCGAGTCCGTGTCATAGGCAACCGTTTCCCGGTCCTCTCAGCCATCCATCGCCCCACGGGCCGTCTGCTGCAGTTCCACTGCGGCGAAGGGCTACCGGCCTCTGTCGAATACATCATGGACTACCAGGCCGAGTATCCCTCGACCCGACCGCTCTACGTGACCGCTCGCCTGATCCTCGAGGCGCGGGGCAGGTATGGCCGCCCTCAGTTGTCCATTGAATCCGACGCCCTCGTAATGCTTCTCGTGGCCTTCCTTAAAATGAACCACGGGCGTTTCCAGCGGCCCGACTGCCTCGGCGAGCAGCTGATCGCGTTTCTGCGCGCCTACGGCAGCGATGTTGACCTGACCACCACCGGTGTCTCCGTCGATCCCCCCAGTTGGTTCAATGCCAGTACAGTCAAACGCGCCAGCGCCCTGTACGCGCCCGACGATCTACCCGCGCATCTGCGCGGCCAGCGGTCTCTCATCAGTCTCAAGAGAACGGCGGCCGCCAGACGCAATCTGCCTGCCGCCAGCCGGCTGTGCGTGCAGGACCCCACCAATTACATGAACGATCTGGGCCGCAGCTGCGTGCGTACGTCGGAACTCCAGCACGCGTTCTCGCTTGCTCATGACCGTCTCGGCGCAAGTCTCAAGCACTGGGATGATAGTGAACAGGCCGCGAACGTTAGTATCCTGACTCGGGCCCTGCAAGCAAACTTTCATGATTTTGAAAACCTCCGCGCCAAATCGCTTAAGCTCAATGCGACCTAGCAATGAATTGTGTCGGAGCCTTGGAGCCTTGGAGCATTGGAAATTATCTCATCTCTTGCTTCCATATTAATACATTATATATGAGATAATGCCGGCGAGTCCGGCGACATGTTTGTCACCTGGGCTAATCCCTGTCACTGGCCACTCTGTAGATGCCAGTTGACTCAATAGAGGTTCGCAATAATCAAATATCAGAAAATGCACGAGTAAAACAGATGAAATTGCTTGTAAGAGAACGCCCGCTTTCTAGTCAAGCAGCTCTGGAGAGCCATAAATGTGTCCAAACCGCTCTATTCGAACGGGAATGCGAAAATAACTATGATAGACAAAGAAGAGGCAAGCCAGTCCAGGGCAAAAGTAGTCTCTGACATAAATTCAACAATCAACATCACGCCGGTGTAGGAGAACTCCAGGTCAAGCAATGCCAACAATCGACATGTGTGGCACCGTAGGGAAAGCACTGCCGAAGCATACGAGGATATACGATGGATCAATTGCTGTACCTCTGTCAGCAGCCATTTCGGTTTCTGACGGGATGCTGATGAGTGACTTACTAAATTTCCAAGGGGGAAATCTGGTCAAGCGTGTATAGCCAGTTTCCGCCCTGCTCTTCTTTCTCAAGCCTATACAGTCCATTAGTATACGGCTACAAAACGACGAGGATAGGCCAGAATGGAACGAACCAGTCATAAGGCCACATTATAAGATGCCCCTGGACCTTATTCAATAACTCTTCTGCTTGTTGTTTGTCCATAACGTCATCGGTCGCGTGGAATTCACGCTTCGAAAGTGTTGTTGCTCGTCTCCGACGGCGGCGGGTCTGGTTTGTCGCGTTGCGATTCAGAGCCTCAGAATAATCAACAGCTTGCGGCTCCTGCTGCTCGACGGCTTCCTTGCTAGGGCCACTCTCTTCGCTGCGCCCACTCTGTGTAGGTCCCGCCCCTGTAGCTTCGGCTACCTCCAAGGCAGTCTTCTCGTCGATTGACGATAACGTTTCTTGCTTCGCAAGGTCGGACTGCATTCGATCAGCTGCATCGCGCCCACCTTCGCGAGCCTCTCTCTTCTCATCCGACCTCTGTTGACCCTTGTGTTCTGTCGCGTGACCTTCGCCGCTCGATCCCGAGTGAGCAACAAGGGACCGTATACCTGCGCCAGCCGCGCTTGTATTTGTCCCGGGAGGTCCCGTTGGTTTTTGGTGGCTTGGCTGAGAAACCTTGACGCTGTGCTGACTCTGCATTTCTGAAAAGCGCTCTCCGTATGTGGCGTACTCCTTGTATTCTTTCCATGACTTGACCTCGCTGTCAGGCATACAACGAAAGACGGCCCGATAGATTTTTGTGTTCTTCTCGGCCACGGCTTGCCAAGTGTCCAGGTAGAAGATGTCGATCACAGGGTCTCTCATGCAGTCCTTGTCAATGAAGATATGCTTGAGGTCTGGGATCAGTGGGTGTGGATACTTCGCCGCATCGGTTATATCTGATGACGGCGACAGGACGCCATTGTCGTTCTCAGTATTGGTCCCTGGCAGAGCCGGATGACGGGCAGCTGCTAATCCATCAACCAGTGGAGTTGGATCGGCATCATGAGCCGTAGTCGAGGGTGGTTCGCGGCTTGTTTCTCTAGCAATGAATCTGCCTGGCTGAGTCTTCCGCTGCGAAGCCGGCTTGGGTTGTCGGATGGTGCCTTTGCCCTCACTAGCAATAGGCGAGACCAGAACCTCACCGGTGTCTTCGAGCATTTGCGAATCGCGACCGTCGGCCAGCCCGGCTTCTAGAGCGATATCTAGATGATCTACCCCATGCCCATCGACGTCCTTCTTATGTTCCGCGTTGGAGGTCACCCGTGGATCCGCAGTGAGCTTTCTGTTCGACTTGAGGTTGGGATTGTTTTCTTGTTCCCAGTCTACATCGTGATTGAAACTGTGCAAGTCTTCCGATCTGGAGAGAAACTCGTCTTGTATCCGATGCCGACGCTCGATCATATCCCTCTCATCCTGTCTCTCCATCATCAGGGACTCGGAGTCGGCCTTGTCATCGTTCTCTGGTGATCTGGTGCCTTCTTCGGCCATCTGAATTTTTCGCAGTTCTTCTTCCGTTGCTATCGAGTGCTCCATCAGCTCGTCAACGTCGATGCCAAGATGCTCTCTCATCAACCGCATGCGCAGGGTATGCGGGAACCGTCCGACAAGATACGGGCGGCCATTCATGGAGGACCATATCATATCCGTATCACGCACAACAGCTGCTACCTCGGAGTCTCGCGAGCCCAGCATCGATCGCTCATTGATATTGGCAGATCCAATGATGGCGGCCCGATCATCAACAACCATGCACTTGGCATGGATGTAGAGCTGCTCAGTGACGAGTTGCTTTTGCGGTCCAATCTTGCCCCAGGCCCGAAGACTGAAGAATTGAATGTAATCTTCGGGATCGATGCCCAGCGCACGCAGTCTGCCAAAAATTGAAGTCTCACCGCGGCAAATGCTGCGATATTGACACTGCATGATGAGACGAACGCTGGTTCCTCCCTCACTGTCCACAGTATTCTGAAAGCCTGGCATCAGTGGGATAACTATGACGGCACGCCACGCCTCCTGATTCTTGTGGGCTCGAATGATGCGCTCCACCAACGCATCTCCGATTAAATTCTCAATCTTTCTGCCGTCTATCTCGCAGGTGCTGATGAAGAATTGATTCTCGATGTAGACAAAATGGTCCGATTCCTCTATCAGTTTGACGTACGCATTCATGATGCTGTGCTCGGTAACGTCCGGCGTGCCCGTCGACCACATACTGCTTGAGCGCAAGATTTGCACCTCGCAAGTCCCATCAAGACCGAGAGCTTCCAAGTCGGCAGGGTCAAAGTCAGGCGGAGGCAGAAGAAAAGGTGTAGGTCTGGTAGGTTTCCGCTGCCGCAAGATGTAGTTCCAGCGCTGCACAAAATGCCGTGTGAGATCCCGGGCGGGCTGACCGACGACGTGCATCGAAATGTCATGCCACGGCATCCTGGGTATGACATTACGGTCATACATCTCCTCGTAGGGCTTGTCCAGATCGTAAAAGTCCTGGATCCGCGGGTTCGAGTAATCCTTACCGGGCCAGAGTTGGCAGTGGTCTGCGTCCTTGGGTCCATCGGGCGTCTCAAAGCCTGTAGGCTTGTCATCAGTGAGGAGATGTTGTGGAGTGTCCCATCTTCCGAAACAGAGGTCAATCCCGCCAACGAAAGCCACGGTGTGGTCGATCAGGCATAGTTTCTCATGGTGCGCCCAGAAAAATGTGTTCTGTCTAAACTGATTCGGAGAGCGCTGTACGAAGATGTTGGGATGAAGGTCGAGAAGTGAGAATTTGGAGTATTCCGAGTCAATAGGGATAGCAGAGTTGATGTTCCGATACATGATCACAAATATCTTGACCCCTTCACGGGCCTTGCGTTGAAGAAGTCGATCCAGCCGCCATTTCTGACTGATGGCTGCTGGCCGTCGCAGGTAGAGTTCAGGACTGAGCCACCAGTCATGGATATAGATGACGTCTTTGGCCTGATTGATCGCTCGCGACACCACCCACATGTGGTCGCGCGCATCGACTAGCCACTGTGCAAAACAGTTCTGGCGCACCGGGGCAAAGCTGTGAAACCTGTTCGGCTTCGCCCACGGGGTACTATTGACCATGAACCTTATAGAGTCCTCGAATTGATGGAGCTGGCGCTCATTCCTGGCCAGCAGTCTGAGCTTCCGCTCCGAGTTTTCCAGCCTCAGTGTGTGATGCTGTGGGTGTCTGGCTGACTCTTTAGCGGACTTGGCAAGCTCCTTCGCTTTCTGATTCCGTAAACTGATCTTTTGAGTTTGTATTTTGAAAAACGGGTCGACCAAGAACACATCGTAGATATTCATCTCCTCGGGCGAGTCAACGCAAACAAGGTAGCTGTGTCGGACAAGAAACCATTTTGGTGAATGCCGCTTCTTCACCATGGCTGGAGTCAGCGCCCTTCGAAAATCGAGGCCTTTGGAAGACTGAATAATCAGGTATCCCTCTTTACCATGATAGCTGCCTTCGGATGCAAGGCGGACACCCAAGGCGGACAGTTCCAGGAATTTACACAAACGGTTGCTATCGGCCTTGAAAATCAAGAACCGAATCATCTTCTGTAGATAGGCTTCAAGTTTCTTCCGCTGTCTCTCGGGATATGGTTCCCTCTTCGTCGACTGGCCAGGTTCCGCCGTACCTGAAGGCCCAGCATTGGCCTCGCCCTCGGTATTGGTAATGCTTGACTGTCTCCGGGATATACCTCCTGACAGTCGGCGTTGCCCTTGTTGCTGTCTTCTCCTACCAGACCTCTCATTGCCGCTGGTCGCTTCGGCGGCAGTCTCATAGCCGCCTTCGTCTTCTTCATCTTCTATCTCACTTTCGAGACCCCGGACTCCTCGAAGATATGGAAAGGCGCTTCGAGGGAAACGGGGAAGATTCTGGCCGCCCTCGGTATTTCGCAGCTGAATGTACTTTTGTGTTCCGAAGTGAAGCTTATATTTCAGATGCAGATTCGCAAAATCTCGGAGGGTACGGTTGATGATCCATTTCATCCGCGTCATTCCGCTGCCGTATTCCAGCTCGATCCTGAATACAAGGTGACGGTCACCGGAATGAGGCTCGAACTTGCTGTCAGTGACCCGAACTTTCAACTGCTCTAGAAGGATTGGGATCCGTTTGCTGCCGTGTTCATCCCGTTGAAACATGCTAGCCAAGATCAAGGCGGCTGGCACCCCTGAAGTCAGCTCGGCTAGTAGCTCGGCGGACTTTGCATGGTCTACTGTGCTCTCAGGCTTGCGACGCATAAATTTGAACCCAGCTTTTATCTGCCGCCACTTCTGAGCGCTCAGGCTCGAGCCGCGTTCGGCTCTATGGCGTCTCCAATGTGGAGCGTTTCCTTCTGTGGGCTCAGAGGGTCCAACCAGCCCAGTAAAACGCTTGAAATTGCTCGGTCGCCTCTCCTCGTGATTACCGTGG